ACTCGGCGCCCGAGGCATCCACGAGGCGGCAACGGGCGGCCGCGTGGCGCGAAACCTCGCCGGACCCGATCAGCTCCCCAGGGGGGGCGGGTGAGAACCTGCCGTCGCTCGGACGTCCATCTCCCGTGCATTGTTCGGTTTCGTGCGTGTTTTTTTTTGCTCGATGGTCCAGGATGGTCCTCGTTGGGTCTCGCCAAAAAAAATGCACATGTCCGAGCGATGCCAAGAGAACCGCGGAGGGCAAGCACTGCTGGGGGACAGCAGCTCAGGACTCGCGGGCGGCAACCATACTCCGCGCCCCCTTGGATGCGCGGGGCTCTCTCGCGGCGGTCCCGCGCCGGACGCAGCCTCGGCGACCGCGCATCCGCGGGGCCGCGCCCTGGCAGCCAGACCGCGAGGGCGCGGCCGTGGGTACGTTCGCACTGGAGGCGGCCTGGGGGTCTGAGCTGCGCGTGCCCCGAGAAAATCGATCGAGAAAGGGGGAAGAGGCCAAATCCGCTCGAGATCGGTCCCCAAACCCTTCCCATGATGGGCTTGTTTTCCACCACCACCACCACCAACATAAGTTGGAGGGGGAGGGGGCCCTCCTCCTCCTCCTCCTCCACCTCCTCCTCCTCCTCCTCCTCTCCGTCCTCCTCCTTCCCCTCCTCCTCCTCCTCCTCCTCCTCCTCCTCCTCCTTCACCCCGCCAGCTCACGGTGGCGGTGGTGGAAAACAACAGGCCCACCATTCCCAGGGGCCATCTGGGTCAACAGTTGCCCCAGATCCGACTTCAACGGTCCCCGGTGCTGAAAACGGCCCCCGTCGACCGGAACGGGCAACAAGAGCGTCCTCGAACGCAGCACCTCGAGCCTCGCCCCCCTCCTGCGGACCGGAACCCGTGCTGGGCCATCTCGGACCAGCTCCGTCCTTCGCCGCTCGCGAAGGGACCCCCTTCCTGCAGGGCGCTCCTTCTTCGACGCCCTCTCGCGCGGCGGGTACATGCTCTCCACGCGCTCGATGAGGTGGGCGCGGCGGCCCTCGGAGCCGACGGGCCCGGGGGCCCGCTCGGGCTTCCTGCCGCCGCCGCGGCTCCTCGAGGCCTGGGGCGCGCTCTCCTCTGCGGGGTCGTACTCGTCGAAGTGGCGTCGGAGGAACTCCCTGCTCCTGTGGAGCATGAGGTGCAGCTCCTCCTCCTCCTCCTGTCGGGGCAGGGGGCCGGGCGAGACGGCGGCGGCCCTCCCCTGGCGCTCCTCGCGCTCCCCTTGGGCCGCCCTCCACGGGGGCTTCTCGCCGTCACGGGCACATCCGCCTCGGAAGACAGGTCAGGATGGACCCTGGGGGGAAGGGGGGCCTGTCCCTCTGCAGCAGGGATCTTCAAAAAGAGTCCCCCAAAAGTACGGGGACGATTTTTTGACAATGTTTGAGCATTTTGGGAGTATGTTCTTCTTTTCTTTTTTTGAAAAAAAAAAAAAAGATCGCCCAAAATCCCCCTGAAGGGGGACAGGCCCGACCTAACCCTGGGGGAACGGGGGACTGGGGAGTGATTTCCAGTGGACGTGGGCCGGGCGGAAGAGCCGCCGTTGTCTCAACTGGCCCTCCTCCGATCCTTCGACACGTCCTTCGAGGGCTTGCCCCCGCCAGTCTTGCCCTCGATCTTGCTCTTCACCTTGTCGAAATCTCTGGCTTCTTCTGCCGACAGGCCGGGGAGGAGCTCCTGAACCAGACTGACGGTGCTTTGCGGCACCAGCAGGTGCTCTCTCAAAGTCCCCCGACGCTGATGCTTGTCGCACTCGATCACTGTGTTATACCATCTTGCCTTTGGCCACCAAGCCTTGATATTGCAGAAGGCCACGATGGCCATGACGTAGATGCGCAGCGAAGCGTCGATGAGATTGCACTCGTCTAGCGTCAGGCTGAACACGTCGCGGATCAACGACATCACAATCTGCAGTGAAAACGAAAATCCTATCATCACCTTGATGGTCCAGAACTTCCACCTGGGCTGGAAATCGTGCTCATGCAGCTGCTCCTCGAAATCCACTTCGGCTTGTAAGACGCAATATATGGCGATAGACGACATGCACCAGACGACCCCTTGCTGGAGACCAGCCAACTCCTTTGCGAACGACCAGTTGTTGGTGGGGTCGTAGCCGAGGCGCCACCATAACCACGTTATCACAACGCTGTACATGGCCCCCACCACGCACACAATCATAAATCCCTTCAGGTTGATGCGCAGCAGGAATCTGAAGCTCTTGCCCACTTGGTCGTGAAGCTTCAGATGCTCAACAAGCACCGTCACGATCAGCTCGACGTACTGGTACAGCGCCCACGCCTCGTAAGCGTCCGCCAGCGCAAAATTCGACTCGAAGGCTTGCCTCTCCGTGGCCTGGGCGAAAGCCAGCCTGTCGTGTGTGACGAGGGACGCCACGCTGGCGGACTCGTTCTCACTGTGGCAGAAGAGGAGGCCTGGGATGTTCCCCATCGGCTTACTCTCATTCGCCAGCGACGCCGACATGTTGTTGAGCATGTATCTGACGTTGATGGCGGACAAGAGGCCGTACACCATCGGCAGCAGGAGCACCTGAATGGCCACGTCGCGCGGGCGGTTGATAAAGCCAGCGCCAGCTGCAAACACACCGCAAGATTTGCACTTTCCAGCGAAGTGGAAAAGGATCTGGCAGAATATCTGGGTGCCCGAGGCGGCGTAGATGCACGCCAAGGCCACCTTATAGTGGCGGACCATCCAAGGCGGCACGTTGCCCATATTGACCTGGAGGGGCAGATGCGCGTCGAAGAAGCGACATCCGTACATGTATCGCATGCGATCCCACTCCAGGTAGGCCATCGCGAACAACCCGCACAATGACAGAAGCCACCATTGCAGGACTGTCTGCAGCAGGATGCGGTAGACCCACTTCACCAGCACCTGCCTGCACCCCTCCCAGCCACACTCCCAAACCTTTCTCATGCACCTCACCAAGCACTTCCAGGATGCCCTGCAAGTGCCGTTGACGCACCTTTTGACGCACGCGAGGCGCGTCTCCCGAGCCGCCGTCCCACGGGATGCCATCGGCGGCGGTTGCGGCGCGCCGAGGTCCAAGCGGCGCTGCTCGATCAGCGAGATACGCCAGCCCAGAGGGCCAGAAAGGACCTGGACCTGGCCAGAACGGGGGCGGCAAGCGGCCTCCCCCTTCTACCCCTCGTGGCTCGCTGACTGCCTGGCTGGCTGGCTCGCTGGCTGGCTGGCTGGCTGGCTGGCTGCTGGCGTGTAGGCGGCTTGCTGGTTGGCATACGTTTGGCTTCTATCTGGACGCGCGGGCACATCTCAAACCGTAGTTGGCGGCGCGCAAAGGGGGGTAGGGGGAGGGGGGAGGCTTCTTAGGAGAAAGCAGCATCTTGGAAGGCGCTGACCCTGCCTGCGTACTTATACATGTTGTATTTACACACGTAGATGCACATCTGTATACCTGTCTCTCTCTATATATCGGAGGTGAGGGGGTGAGATCGAAGTGGAACGGAGAGCCCCCCTACCGGGAAATCGATTTCGGTTTCGTGTTCGTGCGTGCCGTGCGCGCGGGCGAGGCGAAGCTGCGTGGGCGGGCGAGAGGAAAGTCTCCTGTGGCTGAGGCGCGGCCGGACCAAATGTGTCTCTTCCGGGCGGCCGGTGGCCCGCTGGTGTCCTGCCGGTGTCCCGCTGGTGTCCCGTCGGTGTCCATGTGGCTGAGGCGCGGCCGGACCAAATGTGTCTCTTCCGGGCGGCTGGTGGCGCGCGGTGTCCCGCCGGTGTCCCGCTGGTGTCCCGTCGGTGTCCCTGTGGCTGAGGCGCGGCCGGACCAAATGTGTCTCTTCCGGGCGGCCGGTGGCGCGCGGTGTCCCGCCGGTGTCCCGCTGGTGTCCCGTCGGTGTCCCGTCGGTGTCCCGTGATGATGATGATGATGATGATGATGATGATGATGATGATGATGATGATGATGATGATGATGATGATGATGATGATGATGATGATGATGATGTTGGTGTTGTTGTTGATGATGATGATGACGTCGATTGTGAGATCGATTGTGACATCGATAGTGAGACCGATTGTGAGATCGATTGTGAGATCGATAGTGAGATCGATTGTGAGAACGATAGTCAGATCGATTGTGAGATGATGATGGTAATGCTGATTATGATGATGATGGCGCCGAGTGAAAATTGCCGAGTGAAAATCGATAATGAGATAAATTGTGAGATCGATAGTGAGACCGAATGTGAAACCGAATGTGAGATCGATTGTGAGATCGATTGTGATATCGATAGTGAGATCGATAGTGAGATCGAATGTGAGACCGAATGTGAGATCGACTGTGAGATCGATTGTGAGATCGATAGTGAGAGCGACAGTGAGACCGAATGTGAGACCGAATGTGAGATCGATTGTGAGATCGATTGTGAGATCGATTTTGAGATCGATAGTCAGATCGATAGTGTTATCGATAGTGAGATAGAATGTGAGATCGATTGTGAGATCGATAGCGAGATCGATTGAGTGAGACGTTGGTTCCCCCTCCCCCCTCACCTCCTTATCACCCGCAGGGTGGTCGTATAGGTATATATATATATATATATATGTGTGTGTATATCGGAGGTTGGGGGGTGAGTCCGACGTGAAACGGAGACCTCCCATACCGGGAAATCGATTTCGGTTTCGTCTTCGTGTCGTGCGTGCAGTGCGTGCGTGCGGGCGAGGCGAAGCTGCGTGGGCGGGCGAAAGGAAATCCTCCTGTGGCTGGGCCGCGGCCGGACCAAATATAACTCCTCCGGCGACCGGTGCCCCGCGGTGTCCCGCCGGTGTCCCGCGGGTGTCGCGAAATCCTCCCGTGGCTGGGCCGCGGCTGGACCAAATGTAACTCCTCCGGCGGCCGGTGCCCCGCGGTGCCCCGCCGGTGTCCCGCGGGTGTCGCGAAATCCTCCTGTGGCTGGGCCGCGGCCGGACCACATGTTTCTCCTCCGGCGGCCGGTGGCGCGCGGTGTCCCGCCGGTGTCCCGCGGGTGTCCCGCCGTGGCTGCGGCGAGCTATCCAATGCAAGTCTACATGGAAACCGGCATGCAAACCGAAAATCACATCGAAATGCAAATCGACATGCACATCCAAATGCAAATCGTAAGGCGCCGTGGGTTGCGTATTGAAAAATCGGCGCCTGCGGCGAGCTTTCCAATGAAAGTCGACATGCAAATCGAGATGCAGATCGAAAAGCATGCACATCGATATGTCGACATGCAAATCGGGATGCAGATCGAAAAGCGAATCGCCATGCACATCGATATGCGCACCACAGGCACCGTCAGAACAACAGTCGCCACTGTTACCCATTGCTGCCCCCCCAGACCTCCTTATCACCCGCAGGGTGGTCGTATAGTATATATATAATATATATATATATATATATATATATATATATATATATATATATATATATATATATATATATATATATATATATACTAGAACCATCGCGCGCGCTTCGCGCGCGCTCAGGTTTTAGCCCAGGCCGGGGTGGGCGCCGCTGGAAGACCTTGGACAGTGCTATCAAGCACAGGCGCGTGACATTGTCCTGCCTCCTGAGGGCCTCTTGGGGACATTATCGTGCCTCTGGAGGGCCTCTTGGGGACCTCTTGGGTTTTCGTGGGGGTTTTCGTGGGGGGACCTCTTGGGGACCTCTTGGGTTTTCGTGGGGGACCTCTTGGGTTTTCGTGGGGGTTCTCCGTGCTTCCTCAATTGGCTGTTGCAGGCACCTCTTGATGGCTTCTTGGGGGGGCGTCTTGGGGCACCTTGGGGCCCCTTGGGGGCATCGTCGGGGTTCTCCGGGCAGTCGGAAGGTGAGGTTCTGCAATCTGCAGCCGTCATTGGCCGTCTTGGCTGCGTGGAGGCCCGGCTTCGGGACACCTGGGGCCACACCGAGGCAATCCAGAAGCCTCCTGGGGTCCTCCATGAGGCAGTTTTGGTGTATCGAGGTCACTATTGGGCTATCTTGGAGCTCCTTGCACGTCTCCTGGGGGCCTTTTGGGGCCTCTTGGGAGGCTGTTGGGGGCCTCGTCGGACCCCTTGTCGACTCTTGGGGCCTCCAGTGGGCCTCTTAGGGCGGAAGGCTCTGCTGTTGGGTTCGCGTTCCCCTTCCTGGGCCTCTCTTCGGGCTGTCTTGGGGCCCTCTCAGGCCGTTTTGAGCGCCTCAGGCACCGCCTTGGGGCCCTCGTGGGCCGTCTTGGGGCCCTCCTGGAGGCCTCTTCGGCTATCTTGGAGCGGTCTTGGGGGCCTCTTGGGCCGTCTTGGAGCGTCGGTATGCCAAACGGCTGGCAACTTTAAAATCCGTCAGAACCCGATGGGAGAACAATGAGTTGTGCCACTTCGGGCCTTCTTGGGAGGCCTCTTGGAACCTCTTCGGCCCTCTGGGGAGCTTCTTGGGGGCCTCTAGGGTCTCTTGGGGCCCTCTTGAGTCCTCCAGGGAGCCTCACGAGATGAAATTCGAATTGTCGGTTCGGGTTCCCCTTCCGTGTCCTTCTTGGGGCCGTCTTGGAACGCTCTTGGGCCGTCTTGGACGCCTCGGGCGCCGTTTCGAGATCCTCTTGGGCCGTCTTGGGGCCCTCTTGGAGGCCTCTGGGGCTGTGTTGGAGCGGACATTGGGGCCTCTTGGGCCGTCGTGGAGCGTCGGGGAACTGAAAAAGCGAGAGCTCGACAATCCTTCAACAACCAAAGGAAAATCATAAATTGTTGCCTCTTCGGGCCCTCTTGGGAGGCCTCTTGGAGGCCTTGAGGCGTCTGGGAGGCCTCTTGAAGAGTCTGGGGCTATTTCTGGGGTCATCTCTACCGTCATTGGTCGTTTTGGCGGTCCGGAAAGGCGATTTCTGGCAGTCCGGGGCCGTCTTCGGCTGATACAAAAAAACTCCCGGCGCCCCAGCAGGGCCCCTGGTTGGGCGGGGGCGAGGGACCTGTAAAGCGTACCCACCGCAAAGCGTCCCACCTTCCACAGTTCGGGAAGGTGTTCCGCATTTTTTGGAATGCTATTCCGCGCAGTATTCTGTGCGTACCGTTTCATGGACCTACTCACGCACGGTCGCCAGTCACGCAGGGGGGCTATGTCGACTCGCTCAACCCCGTGGCGCGGCCCCAGGGGCCACCGAAACACGCGGCAAATATTATTTGCAGCGTGCGGGCCAACTTGTAAACGCTAGAACACGCGTGTGAGTTTCACTCGGAAATATTACACAGCGCAAGCACAAGTGCACTTCTGTTGACGTTTTCTGACACCCGCGCAACCCCAACGCGCAAAGGGGCAAACACGCGCGCGAAGGGGCCATTTTTGCTCAATGCACCAGCGGCTGACACCAAACACATTGGGAAGCGAACCAATCTATTATATTATTCTTCGACGTCTTCACAACGATGCTGAACCGATCCGCATGTGCCTGCCAGCCTTGGCGGCGCCCCCGTCCGTGAGCACGCGCTCCACGCCAGTTTCGTCGAGCACCTTGGGTCTCGAAGACGGCTCGGGGGCAGAGTTGGTTTTCGGCCCCCACGACGCGGTCGTGGGCCGCACCTGGTCCTGGAGCCCCAAGACAAAAGCAATGCCATCGGGTCTTGGGCCGACCTGGTGGCTCTGCGGTCTCCTACGGCGCCTTCGGGGGATTCCTGAAGGCCTCCTCGCCCCTCCCACAGGTTCGTCCCCTGGAGCCCGAGGGCCGTTGCCTCGGTGGAAGAGAACCCCACAGGGCTCCAGGCGAGTGCCTGCTTCCCTGGGGCCACGTCCCAGAGCCCCTCCCGCGCCGCGGACCCCGTCCCCGCGAGTCCTGGAACAGTGTTCCTGGACTCGCGGAATACTTGCCCGCCGGCTGGTTTGGGGGGTACGCTTTACTGGTCTGTTCGCCGCCCAGACCCTGGTGGGTACGCTTTCCTGGTTTGTTCCCCGCCCAGACTGGGGTGGGTACGATTTCCTGGCTTGATCGCCGCCCATGGGGGGCGGGATCCCTGCAACTGTCCTTTCAGCGAGCCGAGGCCCGGGTGGGTACGCTTTACTGGTCTGTTCCCCGCCCAGTGAAATAGCGTCCCCTGGGTACGCTTTACTGGTCCGCTCGCTGCCCAGGGTCGTGGGTACGCTTTCCTGGCCTGTCCGGCCTCCAACACAAGCGCCTCGGAACAGTGTTCCGTCGAGCGCGGAACACTGTTCCGCACGGAGGGGAATTCAGGCCCCCTTCCGCAGGGGCCCTGCCTCCAGGTCACACGGACCCCGAGGAGGACCCCGAGCCACCTGAGCATGCCAGGACGCGGGCCCCCGAAGCAGCTCCAGAGACACAGCCCCAGACACCCAGGGACGAAGGATGGGGGGGGGTGAGGGGCGGAGTCGGACTCTGGAAGGACGGAGGGAGGACGGAAGAGGGGACGAGGAAGAGGGAGAAATGGCGAAGGGAACGGAAGGGGGAGAGGGACGGGAGGAGAGGGATATCAGTGAGAACATAATGAGGCAAGGAGAGATGAGGGGGGAACAGGGAGTGCGGAAGGAGGAAGGAGGAAGGAAGAGGGAGGGAGGGAGGAGACAGGGGAAAGAGGGGCGAGTGAGGAGAGAAGGGCGGGGGATGAGAAAGAAGCGAGGGAAAGGGGGAAGGAGGGAGGGCTGACGGAGGGAGGGAGGGAGGGACTGAAGGGCGGAGGGATGCAGAGACGGAGAGAGGATGAAAAAGAAGGTACGCGTTGCACTCACAGCCGCGCGCGATATGGATACGTGGGCACACAGCTAGCGTCCAAGCCATGGCTGGATTCCAAGAGTGTCGATAGGAGCTGTCGAGCGATAGTGTTGTAGGATCTCCGACTTCCGCCCTCTGTCAGCCGCTTCTCTTCAAAAGGAAGGGGAAGCCCACCACCCCCCAACGAAAAGCCAGATGGACGGACAACTAGAGCTCCCGTCTACCCACAAAACTGATGAAACGCAGGTAAGCAATCAGTCGCTCTACATATGATGTATCAATGGGCGACACTCCACACGTGGGTACGGTTTACTGGCTCACTTTGGGTGGGTACGCTTTACAGGTTTGATGTTGCCTCCCTACCTGGGGCCCCGGCACACCCATTTGTGGTCGGGGTCGCGGCCCAGGGGCCCCTGGGTCTGGTCCCCTGTTATATGTGCGCACGTATGCGCACATACATAGAAGGCCCGCGCCTTCTAAGAAGCAGGGGTGCTTCCAAGAAGCCTTCCCCCCTCCCCCTACCTCCCTCTGAACATGGCCGGCGTAGGCCGACGAGAAGCCATCCGGGAACACCTTAGGCATGTCAGGAACTTCGACGGGGGTCTTGGGCCCTCGCATGAAGCTCTCCTGAGGCTCAGGCGTTGGGCGCGGCGGGGGCACTGGACAAATAACCATTGGATAAGGAACCGAGGGCCTGGAAGCCGGTGGAACACCAACTGGGCGACGGGAAGAACAGAACGGGGCTTGCGCGAGATGACATAGCAACCTTACGCGGTGGCTTACGCGGGCCGCCGGCGCGGCACGCTACATTGTAAACGAGGGCGCTTACGCACGACCTTGCGACGAGCAACTTCAGCGGGAGTGTCGGTGAAGTCAACCCCGTTTTCTTCCATCGCTCAACTGAGACTTGGCCATGGAGATCAATGCCGCCCTGATCTGATAAGGAATCCCCCAGGGTCTGACGCCTCCCGGTACATTCCTGAACCAACGTCCCCACGGTACTTCTCGCCTTGTGAGTCCTTCAGCCAGGCCCACTTGGCCCTCCCGACCTCGGCTACTCAGTGAACAGTATGGGCGGGTGATGAGAGCGAAGCGTCTCGGATAAGCTCTCCGATTTGGGTATCATCGCCCCAGGCCTTGCGAAGTTCTGCAAGGAGCTCATCGCAGGGACGCCTCATCACGTCTGCTTCCGTTGTAGCATCCCCGTCAACGGGATCTGTCGCCGACCTATTGGGTGGGGTCGCCTTCTTGGCCTCCTGCTTGAAGGACCAAGGCTTCCACTTACCGAACTCACGCTTCTCCCCCTCCTCCTCCTGCTTCTTCCACTCGGCCGCCTCCGTCTGAGCATGCCGCCCCACCAGCCAGATGACGCAGCCGGAGATCAGCATCCAGGCCGCCGCGTAGTCCCAGAACGGGGCGAGCAGCACCGCCTCCCAGCTGGTGGAGGTCAGTGGCACGCGGCGGCCGAGCCCAAGATGGCGAAAATCGATCAGGACCTCGCCCGCGATGGCTCGGAGAAGATCAAGCTGCATGAGCATAATGTTTCGGAACTTCGTGCGGATTTATTGGATCGGCGTCTGGAGCCCCCTGGTGGCGTCTCGGGCGCCGCCCCTGGCGCTCCGCGCGCCAGGGAGGGGAGTCAAGCGCCGATCCAAGACATCCGCGCGGAACTCAGACAAGGTATGTCCATGCATGTGCTCTTCTTCGAATGGCGTCGAGGCAGGTGGCGTCGCCCCTGCGCCTCGGCCCCGCGCTGGAGTTCGTGCCCGCGCCCTCGCTGGCGTTGGCCACAGCACCGGCACGGGTGCTGTGCAGGGAGCCGAAGTTGGGGGACGGGGTCGGGGGCAAAAAATGATACACCGAACAACCACCGATAGGTCGGCGATGGATCGACGATGCACCGCCGATGTACCCAGAACCGACGAGACACCGCCGATAGATCGGTCATGGTGCCCCCGACGGGGCAGCCGCGCGCTCCTGCGCGTAAGCTCTGGGGCCCCCGCGGGCCCAGACGTCGGCGAGGAATGGGCAACCGCCGGCCGATGCTCCCTCCCCTCCGCCCGCGCCCCCCTGGTCGGTGCCCCCTGACGCTGGCCACCGCGCGGGCGCGGGCCGCAGCTTCGGCACGGGTGTTGGGAGAGTAGAGGAAAACACAAGCATAAAGTTTCGGAGCTCCGTGCGATTGTCTTCGATCGGCGCTGAACCCTCGTCCCTGGCGCGCGGGGCGCGCCGAGGGCGGCGCCATAGCTTGGATGACCGCGGGGGGTGCTAGGGGAACTGGGGATTCAAGTGGACGCTGAGACAAATTATATCTGGCCCAACTTGGCTTATGAGTGCGTTGCAAGTGACCCGCGTAAGCAGAGTTCAAGTGGCAAAGATCTGGGCTAAGTGGGCGGAGCCCACTTACCAGAGTTTCCTTAGCCTTTTATGTGCACAACTCTGAGTACTTGTACCCCACCTATGAGCTAGGTTTGTTCAGGTACGACCCACCTTCACATCAACTGCTGACCCCCCTGTCCCCATGGCAACCACCGCGGGCATCCAAGAGGCGCCGCCGAGGGGGCTCCAGCGATCCGAGAAGCCCGCGCGGGTTCCGAGAGTTTATGCGTACAGCCATCGCGCTGACAATCTTTTTTCCGTGGAAGCACTGGTAGCCTCCCCAGACGCACCGTTTCGAGAAAAAAGCACTGGGGTGGGCTGCCGAGTCCGGCGCCCATCCTGCACGTACCAATGGCTCCTCTGGTGCAGCGACAGGAGCACACCGCCACGCGGGTGCACGAGGAGCGCCTGGGTATGCGGAGCGAAGGGGCGTCCACGGCCACGGCGAGCCTCGGCCGCGCGCAGGCTCCCCGACCCAGATCGGCGGCGCGAGCCCGAGAACCAGGGCCCCTCCCGAGCCCAAAGCGGTCCCTGACTTCGGCGGCGGGCCCTGAGGGGGGGGGGAGCGAGGAGGGGGAGGGCCTTCTCGGAGGGCTCGGAAGGGGGAAGGCCTTCTCAGAGGGCTCAGGGGGAGTGAGGAGGGGGAGGGGGAGGGGGAGGGCCTTCCGAGAAGCTTTCTGAGCCTTCTCCCCGAAGACACAGAAGACTTCGCTCGGAAGGCCCGACGGCCTTGGAGAAGCCCCGCCGCATCCTGCGAAGCCCTTCCCCTTCCCGGTTCCCCCCCATCGCCCGCCGCCAAGCCCTGACTGTGTGCCGCCTCTTCTCTTAGGTCGGGCCTGTCCCCCTACAGGCGGATGTTGGGCGAAAAGTGAAATACTCAACGCAATACTCCAAAAATGATCAAAAATAGTCAAAAAATCGTCCCCAGTCTATTTTCTGACTTCTTTTGAGCACTCCTCCTGCAGAGGGACAGGCCGACTGAAGTCTTCTCCTCCGATGCCCGCAGCTGCGGCACGGGCGCCCGCCCGTTCGCCGGCCCTGGCCCCGGCGCCCGCGGGCGCTCTCCCCGGGCCAGCGCTCCGCGGCGCTTGGTCCGCGGCCGCGCGCAGCGACGGCCCCGCGGGGTGCGCGGAGACTGCCGCCGCGCCGCAAGCGACGGCGCGGGCGACGGCGCGCACGGCGCCGCCGCCAGGGCGGGGGGCGAGGGAGGGAGACATGCGGCCTAGACTTCGCCTGATGGGCCTTGTTTCCACCATCACCACCAGAAGTTGGAGGGGGAGGGGGTCCTCCTCCTCCTCCTCCTCCTCCTCCTCCTCCTCCCCCTCCTCCTCCTCCTCCCCCTCCTCCTCCTCCTCCTCTTCCTCCTCCTCCTCCTCATCCTCCACCTCCTTCCCCCCACAACTTATGGTTGTGGTGGTGAAAAACCTGGCCATCGCTCGGACGTCCATTCCCTGTGCTTGTTTCGGTTTCCTGCGTGGTTTTGTCGCCAAATGATCAAGGATGGACCTCAATGATCCCCGCCGAGAAGACATGCACACGTCCGAGCGATGCCAAGAAACAGGCCCATCGTCGCCTGCCTCTCGAGCGAACTGTCGCGATCGTAATCGCGCCGCAGGCTCTGAAGCCGCCCGTGGCCCGCGGGTGCAGCACGGGCGTGCCCCGCGGGGCCGCGCCCCGCGGCTGCGAGCCTGCACGCCGGCGATGAGCGGACGTCGGTGGTAATCTGAACGGTCGCCGCCTGGAGAGCGAGAGGAAGGGCGTTGCAGTCGGGGGAGTAGGGCAGAGGACGCCCGACGGTAAGGCTTCGGCCTGTTCACAGACGGGCCTCCCAGGAGAGTCCCGGCTGGCCTCAACAGGCCCCCCGAGTAGTCTGGGGCGGTCTCAACACCCCAGCGCCGCCCCTGTTGCACTCCGCACCCCAGGGTGGGGAAAGTGAGACCGCCCTGGCCAGACGAGCATCCCTCAAGAACATCCAATGCAACATAAACAGAACATCCTGTGGTACCCTCCCCAGGATGCACAAGAACATCCAACAGACACGAAGAACACTAGGGTGCTCTTCCCGAAACTACCTCGATCTTACACCTCGGTCCGACTGTACTCGGGGGGGGGGGGTGGCTGTTGAGGCCTGTGTGGACTACCTGTGGGGGGGCTGTCTGTG